AAGGACCCCCAAAGTTTGCTGTTGTGAGTCCACACAAGCTACAAAATGCTTGGAACCCAAAGAATCTCTGCCACCACTGCTTTTGTGCAGCTTCTGCAACATTTTGGACACCATTCTCTTTTGTGTCTTTGTGCTGAACTGTGCTCTTGAGCTTGATAACTAATGGTGCACAGTGCTATACCCTCGTCCCTTCCCATTATTGACCATTGATCAAGCAAACTACGATACACTGCACCCCAACCTGCACTTGGCCTTTGCCTTGGAAGTACGTCTGCCCGTGCGAGCTTCAGCAACAACAACGACCTGAACAATGCCTTTTGGTGGGTCGCCCACAACCCAATGAGGTTGTGCCCGAATCGACATATTAAGAGCGTGGCGTAGCAATCACCGCACCAACCACAATCAACCAACAAGCATCCTGCAGACAAAAATATGCTTGCTTGTTTGAGCTGCATTTGGGAACTAAAGTCTCTGTGTTGTTGCACTAGAATCGGCAACGCTCCAGTCAAGTTCAATACTGTTTGTGCGTTGTGCCTCTGCAAAACATCTGATCCCACCTGCAGATGCCAGGAAGGCCGCGCAACATGGATAACAGCAATGGCAAATTTGTGCATCAAGCACCTCCCTATTGGAGCTGCACACAACGGTGGTGGCACAACGTATTGTGATTTTATGTCGTTGTTGGAAGAATCCCTGTGTGGCCAATGTATACTCACAAGTGACAGAGGCAGGTGCCGCCGGGGACCTTTGTAGCGCAAACGAATTGCAGCAGGTGAGCGAGTGCTACGCACCCAAACACCAGCCAGGGCAGGCCGCATCAATGGCAGCAAACAAGGTAGCAATCCCCTCTGATTGCTGCCCCCCCCCCCCACCCCACCCTCAGGAAAACCCATATGCACCTTTTCTGCACCAATCCCCCACATCGCCACTGCGCACCTCTCCTCGGCGCCGATCCAGCCCCTTCCCTGACCTTAACCGGCGCTCCTCGCCCTGCGCCGATACCCCAACCCCAATCCCAACCCCCAACCCCGCGCGCCAATCCCGCCCTTCCCCGCCCTAGTTCTGCGTTCACCCAACGCCATGACGGCCCATTCCCCTAGAACCATTCGGGGAGGCCGTGCCGAGCGCCAGGTGCGCTGAGAGGCACCTGGCAGTGAGTGCGTGGGACCGCGCGGCACCTCAGATGGCCCATGCATTTCCACGCACCTGTGCAAAGCGCCGCGGCGATGCCCAGCCACCTGCCCGCCGCCCTTAGGGAGGAATCTCCAGCCCAATGGGAGCCTTCAGCGCCTCTCTCCGTGGGCGCCGCCGTCGCCACGTTTCGCACACCGTGGGCCTGCTGGCGGCCGCCCACTGGATTGGCGGACGGAAGCCACGGATTACTACCCTGCGGGATTCCCGCACGCCCCGGCGGCTAAAGTACTAGGGCGTGCGGGATTCCCGACGGGATTCCCGCGCGGGACAAGGCAGCCAACTTGGATGCGCACAATGCATCCAAGTTGGCTGCACCCAGGAAATATGCACGAGACACCCCTCGACGGCCGACATATTCCCGGAATCTCCCACCGATTAGTAACACCCCCGTCACTTTCCAGGGGACCCGCCCGCCCATTCCTTGCACTCCTCCGCCGGTCCTAGGCATTGCGCAAGCTCTCGACGTCCCCGCCGCCGCCCCCTCCAGCCCCCATCCCGCGCTTCGCGCCTTGTGCCCCGCCGCCGCCGCCGCCATGGAGCGCACGTTCATAATGATCAAGCCGGACGGCGTGCAGCGTGGCCTGGTGGGCGAGGTGATCAAGCGCTTCGAGGCCAAGGGCTTCTTCCTCAAGGCCCTCAAGATGCAGACCGTGGAGAAGGCCTTCGCGGAGGAGCACTACGCCGACCTGGCCTCCAAGCCCTTCTTCCCTGGCCTGATCGAGTACATCACGTCCGGCGCCGTGGTGGCGATGGTGTGGGAGGGCAAGGCGTGCGTGGCGACGGGCAGGAAGATGATCGGCGCCACCAACCCACTGGCCAGCGAGCCGGGCACCTTCCGCGGGGACTTCTGCATCGACGTGGGGCGTAATGTGATCCACGGGTCGGACAGCGTGGAGAGCGCGAACAAGGAGATCGCGCTTTGGTTTCCCGAGGGCGTCTGCGAGTACGAGCACCACTCCAAGGCGTGGATCTACGAGTAGGGGTCGAAACGGGGGATGCCCGGGCTTGGGTGAGGCGTCCAGCCCGCCGCGCGGCGGGGGGATCTTGTTCGGCGGCCTCGGAGGCGAGCGGAGTGGCGAAGGGGCCTGGACGGCTGAATTGAGGGTCGCCTTGTGTCGGGTTGCGCGAGTCGGGCGGATGTGAGCGTGTGCGCTGGAACGGCCTGTACGAGCGTGCTGTGTGTAGAAATTTGGGCTGAATCGAGTTCGTGGCGGCGAACTGACGTCGAGCGAGGTAGCGTTGTTGAGTGGCGGCGGGACCGTGCTGGCGGCCGATCGAAGTGCCGATGCGGACCCATTGCCGGACCACCCAGACTGCGGAGCCTCCGTCTGGGGATGGACTGGGCGTGGGTCGTGGCCCTCCAGATGTCGTTTGCCCGATTCTGCGAGCCCGTTTGGCGACAAGGCGCCCAGTCCAGACAAGGAATGCGTGCTTGTGCACTGTGGCTGTCAAGGTTCGATTGTATTCGAACACTGACGTTACACACCACATTTTTCGACTGTGGGCGCAGCGCTAAGGAGCCTTACAGCTAGACAATGCCTTGCCCAGCAGCGGACTGTCTCAAGCTGGCAGCTATAAGCCAGCCAACATGAACACACGAGAAAATGCAATATGTCCAACCATCCTTGAGTTTTCGCAACTAGCGCGCCAAAGACTATGTTGTATTGTACAGAGATTGATCAGCAACTATGGTAAACTAGGTCCAGCCACTGTGCCTGGTGGTCATGCTGGGCTCCTCCTGGTATCGCATCTGCTGCCAGGACCACGGGCAAAGGGCATGCACCCATTCTGACTTGGGGAGAGCACATGCTAGGATTCTGTGGGTGCAGTGATATTAGTCACTTACTCCAGCCAGAATGCGAGGATTGAACGGGGACCTTGCTGGAGCCGACCCTCAACCGACCGCAGAGAGCCAGGGCCATAAGTTCTTGCACTGTTGTAAGGAGTTATCCTCGACACCAATGCCAGCACCCACAAGATTTCAGTCTGTTGCTCTTGGCCTATGTTCTGCTTTGTATTCATTGGCGTTGGTTTTATGTTCACAGCAATGAGCCCTGCAGAAACACAGGGAGAGGCCGCTCTTGTATTCTCTGGGAAGGGATGAGGGTTTACGAGATGTTGCGCTACCTCTCGCTTGAACTGCGCCTTCCTGCACCCATGGCTGGCAGATCCACTCCAGCGCTGGTGGTTCGACACAATTTCTGATGCGGCCCAAAAGGGACGCCTTTGGTTGTGGCCCAAAGTCACCCAAATTGTTCCCCTGCTACAGGCCCACTGCACGCTATGGGAAGCAAGAACAGAAATTGAGTGACACTCGCTGGGCACTCTACCATGGATTAAATCCCTCAAAAAGCGACCCTAAATTTCAAAATGCCAATATGCCAAGTGCTTAATCAACGTGCTACCATGGTACCCGCAAATGCCAACCAAGCACGCGAAGTCATCAACTGCCATGAAAACCAAAAGAACAAGAGCATCCCATCTCAAATTATCCCAGGACATCAACGAGACCACTTTCATTCGGGATGTGCCCGAGCAAGGTTTCGGGTTCCAGTCCAGATAATGTCGCCACCAGCTCCAAGTGACGAAAATGACCCTCTCCCTGTACCTTGGCCCTCGTCATCATCATCATCATCTCTTACAGAACAAGGCAAAGAGGCAGCTGTCAGCTTCCTATTTTGCCCGAGCAAAGCAGAGTCTGTGATCAGTTCGTTGAAATCTCAAACACAAACAAAATCTGTGAGTGTATTAGCTCCTAATGCCTAGAAGCGATTGTCTATGATAACGCATCAAAAAAAGCGTCGTCCCCGATTGGCGAGCGGGAACCGAAGCAAAAAGCGTTTTTGCATTGCGGCGTCGAAAATACAAGAGTGGTTTCGACGGATGATACCATAGCCCTGGCAGTGGAAGAGAAAATGGGTCTCGCCTTCTGGAGCCAAGCGGCGTAAAGGACTCAATGGCCTTGACAATTCTCGAATAGATTGTCGCGCTTGGTGTCGTTGTGTTTCAACTTCCAGAAAACGCGGCCCACAGCGAAATTGCAGGAAAAGCGATCTCAAGGAGATATGATATATAGGAATCGTTCATATCGGTAGACTGGCTTGACGCGTTTGTACCATCGCTGAATCCTTGAAGATCGGCTGGAGAAGACACTAGCAATGTGGACGTGATCGGAAAGCGCCAGCGGAAGCCATTGGACGATCAGAACAAGATGGGTCAGTGGAAGGCTGACCCGGGGGGCGGGATCACGACCAGGGGAAGAGGGTGCAGGCCGAGAGCCTTCCATGGCAACGCGGCGTGAGGCGCCAACGCGTACACTCTCTGCTGTGCGCATTGAACGAGCCTCACTGAAAACACTGGCCGGGACGCACTGAATGACTGCCTCACTGAATTGTTGTCGCGTTGAGGGCCGCCCCACGGCGTCGAGGTCGCACTGTGGCTCGCTGGGGCTGGCTCTCTGAGGGCCCCTGTCGACCCTCTCGCTCGTGTCCCCCTTGCCCTCATGTCTGTTCCTCTTGCTCCTGTCTCGTGCATTTGACGTACAGAATTGTTGTACGTTGGCCCTCAGCTGGAGTCCATTGCGAGATACCCCACGGCGTCCCATGATGTCCCGAAGTACAGAACGCGGTTGGGGCCCACCGCGCCCGTTCAGTTTACCGCGAGCACCGCCCGGTGCCCGGCAGCCAGCGGCCGGCCAGCGCACTGGCCCCACCGCGCGGTGCGACGCCCATCTTGCCGAAGGGAGGGCCCATCCTCACTGACAAGGGCCACTGCACGCCGCGGCCATCGTGGCGCCACGCCAAGCAATGGAGTCGTCTAACCGGCTCTCGGCGGGAAGCAATCTGACCCCGGATGCGGGGAACTGCGCGGTGGGTGGGGTTCGGATCAGCGACGCGCGCGGTGGTGGGCCTTTGGGGCGGGGGTGAACCGCTGGGGGTGGCGTAGGGTCGATTGCCCTCCCTGAGATTCTGTCACCCCGTTCCCGGGCCCTCCTCGCGGCCCCCGTCGACAAGCGGGGGGAAGGGGGATGGCGCAGAGGCCCGATCGTTCGCCTCGATTTTGTCACCAGATCGACGGGATCTTCGCGTGCCAGAGTGATCGGGAGGGAAGAAACGGACGAATGAAGGAAGCGAAGCGCACGAGCTCCATTGACGGTCGCAGGCCCGCAGGGTACAGGGTTTCCGCTGCGTCTTGTGAGGGCAAATGCCGAGCGATGAATTTTGGCACTCCGGGGCGGACGCTGGGAACGTTGGTCGCGGCACGGTGTGCCTGTGCGCACGGGGATGTCGACGCCATTCACCTGCGTGCTCATTTCGTTTTGTGCTCGCTTGCCAGGCGAACACGGCGATCATCGACAAGTCGAGAGCCCCAGGCGGGTGCGAGTTTGGCGGCCACGGGCGTGGTGTCCGGGGATCGCAATCGCATTCGGAGCCGCCCTGGGACGCCATGCTCCGATTCTGGGACCCGTCGCTGGAGGCCGACTTTTGGGCTTCCCGGTGCACGGGAACGCGCCTGGTGTTCGACCTGGTGCTGATGGCCCAGGTCCTGTTCGGAACCTGCGCCATGTGGTTCATGGCATCCAGGACCAGCTGGTCGAGTGCCCTGCTGCATGCGGATATGGCCTTCACCATCGCCCTCAGGGCCGGGGCGCTGCTGCTGGCCTGGCGCCACCGTGCGGAATACCTCTCCAACCGCTCCTTCATAGTGGCCTTCCTGCGCCTGCAGAGCCTGGTGTACGCCTGCCGGATGCTGTCAGTCCTCCCGCCGGAGGGCGACACCGCCGAGGCTGTGTTTGGGCACATGGTTCAGAAGACCATCGTCCTGCCCAACGCCGTCATCTCCCTGGGCATGATGCTGCCCCTGAGGGAGCACCTCTTCGTGCAGGGCCTGGGATGCCTGGTGTCGATCTTTTGGGTGACGGGCATGCACTGCCGCAGCTGGGTGGACGCGGGTGAAGGGCGGGACGCTATTCGAAATGCCTTTGGCGTCATCGGGGAGACCATTGAGTGGTGGGTGGACCGCGCCACCCTGATCGGCCTGCCAGGATCTTTCAGGAATGGCGGGTCCACCTCTGGCGAGCAGCCCTCCTGTTGGTTAGTCATGGGGTCAGTGCAGGTGGTCGGCGTGCTTGTGATCCCAACGATGTTGGTGTATGCTGTGGAGGTCTCCTTGCGATTGAAATTCATATTGGACCGCACAGCCGATGACTGTGAGCGTGAGTCCTATGTCAAGGCGTGGATCGGCTCCATGGTGGTTATGGTATGGTGTGGTATTGTAATGTCCATGGTGGGCTGGTCTGGCCTGCAGGCCATGGAGGAACTCTGGCAGCAGGCTGGATGGGTGGGATTGTTTCAAGAGGGGAGCTTTGCATGCTGAGGGCAAGATTCATCACTGGGCCATGATAGCTGAGCCGTGTGGTGTGATCCCATTTCAAGCTCTGTGTGGGGGGACACCACGTAGCCTTGTTTCAGTTGATGCAGCCTGAGTCTGGCCTTGCGGAGCAAAAGGACATGTGCAGCAGAACAGGAAGAGCTTTGAGCGGAGGCAGAATCGATTGGACTGGCGCAAAGAGGATTTCATGGCATGTTTCACTTTCCAGTGGGCAAGAACATGTGCTTGTGTGGAGACAGAGTCTCATAAAATAGCTAAGGCATGTGAGCAAGAAGATTCGTGTTAGACATATGCACAACCCCTTGGTTCCAACCTTGGTTTGCAGCGTGCAGTGACCAGGAGAAGCTTCCACGACTGTGACAGCTGCACTTTCTGTAGTCCTCGTTGTATGGAAGATTGCTACAAGACCTGAATGAGGTATGATCATGCAGCTGCCGCTGGCAGCAAGGTGGCATAGGGGCGGAAATGAGTTTTTGCAGAGGATATATGTCAGATATTTGCTTTCAGGTGGTTGACTTTAGCAGTTTCTGGTGCGTTTTCTGGGGCATGGTGCAGGGCGTTGAAGGAGAGTTTGCATTGCACATTGCATGAAAGGGTGATATTCCCATTGAGGCTTTTTGGCTTGCAGCACCCAGACTTTTTCCTGTCAGCGATGTTGGATGGGAGACATGGGTGTTATGAGTGGCAGCACATTCGCAGGATCTGCTTGCATCGTATGGTGGGTGGTTTCGAAGGCAATCTTTGAACTCTTGAAGGTCTTTCGGAAACCACTATCAGTGCTGTGTGCAGAGTGTGGGGGCAGAAAGATGTGTGTGTGTGAGGGCAGAGAAAACAGCCTGGCGACAGGTTCACAGCAGGTTTCCTGGACAGCTGTGCAGCATAGCTGAACAGCGTTTCTTTTTGAGAGCATCCATGTGTTAGCAGCCCATGCACCTTGTGGGAGATGGTAATCGCGGACACATTCAATCAGCGACTGCTTGATGTTGGTAGAAAGTGGTTCCCCATATTACCCATCACATGGCATCCACCCATTCAATGGCACCTTTTGGAGCAGTGGCCTTGTTTTCAATCCCAGCAGGTGCAGTGCAGAAAACGTCAGGCTTGACAAAAGGGGGGCAGCAGGCTGTGTTGCTTGGAACTAGCAGCCTTAGCACGATAGCATTTGGTGATGTAGTGCTGGGCCAACGTTGTAGGATAGAACCTGGTTATCTGGATTTGTTGCAGGCCTGGCAGGCATTTCACACCTGCTGGGCCATGTTTGCCCAAACTTTTTTTGGTAGTTCAGGGGTTTGTATGCTGATGGTGAGCTTCCCTGTCTGCAGGATAAATGAGGACAAGCTTGGCTGGTGATGGTTGTGAGCAGGGGTAGTAGTGTAGTGGTGGGAGAGGTAGCAAATGATGCAAAACTGGATGGAAAGATGTGGCTTGAATGAACGCAACTGGGCCCACCAAAGGTTGTGCAGGTCTGGGCGGCAGCGTGGGGTCGCTGCACCCACATGCCTGGTAGTAGAGCCAGCTTTGGGGGGACAATGACCTCCCCTTGCCACTGCAGAGAATAGAACCCGCAAAGTGCAGGGCAGCTGGGTGGGCCACAATCCAATTTTTTCTGCCAGATGGCTGCACTCTGGCAAGTGCTGTAGTTGACATTCCTGTGGGCAGCTATGCCCCAGAATAATCTTCTTGTTGGCTTCTGATGAGTCACCGCACCCTGGAGTGCAGTTCTTTGATGGAGTGCGACGTTGCCGAGGCGACGTTGCATGGGAGTGGCGATGCCTACTGCATTGCTCCTGGCGTGTGCGTGCTGAGTGCGTTCGCTGACATGGATGGGGTTCAGAGGTGCATCGGTGCTGCAGTGGTTCATTGTGCATTTCCTTGCCCACGGCCATCGTGAAGTGCAGCACTGTCGAATTCAGAGCATGGACATGAACGTGGCCCTGCCACCCATGTCTTTGCCTTCTTGATGGCAGGGCGCTTTTCTTCCAATGGAGTATAATAATGGGATGCGATGGCACATCGCTTGTGCTAGAGTGCACGAAATTGTCGTCCATTGCGTGGACGTTGGGATGCTGGCTGGGGTGAGCATCCACGTTGTACATTGTATTTGTTGTAAGGATGCTGGCCGCTGGATCGCTTCTTCATTCTACGGTGCGTGCTGGGGAAACTGGTCATCGCAAGGTTGGATTGCCCAGCTGATTGCTGGGCACGTTCGGTGATTTCCCAACCCCAAGTTTCACAGGTGGCTCGCTGCATTCGGTGGTCACTTGGCTGACGCACTGAAGTGTTTGCGAGGAACGCAGTGTCCATTTTGGCCGCGGGGGGCAGAACGGAGCAGGTAATGAAATATGGAACAGAAAATCGGCCTCGCAGGAAGCAGGACCGCAGAGTGGGAAGAACACAAGGCGCACGTGGATGTGCTGCACAGCAAGAAAGTGAACTGCGCAGCAAAGCGCCTGCAGATTTGGGGCCAACGGGATGACGGGAGGCCATGGAGGCCTGGGAGTCCCAGTGCCGTGTTCCTCAGCGACGGCACACGCAGGACGATATGCACTGGCCCCAACCCCGCCCCAGCCCAGCCCCACCCCAAGCACGCCTCAATTGGGGACACTGTTGCAGGCGAAGGGCATGTTGATCCTGTACTTTAGCAGGCCGCAGAGAGCGCCCTTCAACATTCGCGGAGACGCCAGAAACGAGGACATTCTGGATAGCGTCGCAGAGGATGGCGAAGGTGTCGTGTCGCCAGCCTACAACCGAAGAGGGAGACCCCCACCAACTTGTGATCCGTGTCAACCAGCCCCAATGCACCGAGTCCCAAGAGCAGCCGGGCGCAAAGGCTTCAGATGGCAAGTTAATGAATACATACTTACGATCTCACTCCGTGCTGCATGGAGTAGCTGGCCGGTGCCTGGCCGGCCACCAGGGAATGGAAGTCATTATGCGATGAGGAGTCATAACGCTTCCATCGTCCTGGGGGTGCAGCCAGGGAGAAAAGGGCCCCACCGCGCCAAGAGCCGCAAAGGGTGGGCGGGTGGGAATCGTTGGCACGGAGTGCGATTCGTGGCACGGCTCACGTTGCGGCGGCTGCCACTCGTCAAACAGCCACGACCTGTCGTGCCGCAGCAAAATCTGCTGATTGCATCGTTGTGTCCTACATGGACTGACGCTATTCGGTGTCAACTCCTGGCAAGTTAATGAATACATACTTACGATCTCACTCCGTGCTGCATGGAGTAGCTGGCCGGTGCCTGGCCGGCCACCAGGGAATGGAAGTCATTATGCGATGAGGAGTCATAACGCTTCCCAACCCAAAAGGCTGGATATCCTTATCAAGCCTTCCTTCCCAACCAAACAGATCGACCACGGAGTGAAAACAAAGGAGAACAAAGGAATTAACGAGGGAATTGTGTTGTAGGAAGAAACGTGGGATGACGATGTGGAGAGCTGGTATAGGAAAGAGCGAACCAAAGTGGCCACCAGGGCAGGTCAGGCACAAGTCAGTGTAGAGGAGTGCCGAACCATGTACAAACAAGGATTGAGCACAGCAGCAAATTTGGGAAGGCAATGTCGAGCATTCAAGACAAGGCAGGAGGAAGAGTTCCAGGTACAGCAGTTACAAGAATTTCTGGAGAAACTGCCACTGAAGAAAACATTAGATAACTGCACACCCTACGATGTACTCGTATACATGACAAAAGAATGGATGCCAACACATGGAAGAATACCGATTAGGAAAGAAGGAGGGGTTTGCATCAAGAGGGCAGCACCAGGAACATTAAGTGGAACATTGTCACATCTGGCACAATGGTTTGAGCGACGAGGGCGATCTGGTGACTGGAATGCTGGAGTAGGGAATCCAATCAAGCATCAAAGCATACAAGAACTGAGAAAGGGGTACCAAATCGATATGCAATGAAGCGGATATACAGAAGCCGCAGTAGAGCCCATGAGTTGGGCGAAGTACCAAGATATGCAAAGAAGATTGGGCAACGCAGTGATGCAGGAGTGGCAAAAGGGCAGTATAGAGTTTGATGCAACAACATATCTGCACCTACGAACGCTGGTGGTGTTGGCAATGATGCGGTCGACATTTCAACGACCAAAGACGATCGGCGAAATGCGATTGTATTGGCTGAGAAAACCGGGCGGCCAACAACGCGAATTAGCATTGACGGAGCAAACCTTGATGGATGGGCAGGTTTGGCAGTTAGACGTGTCATGGATTAAGAATCGCCAGAGGCAAGACGCAGGAAGTATCACACTACATGTGCTGCCAGTAGATTGGTGGTTTATATGTCCGCTGCGATCATTGCAGATGTTTTTGCTTTGGAATAAAAAGTACGGAAGGCCAATTACCGACTATGTGTTTCGCACATTCCGGCGGGGTACGGATCAATTAGAAGAAAAACCAGCGAATACCGATGTATTGCAAAAATCGTTCCAAGGCCTACTGAGGAAATGGGAGATGCAAGGCCAAGAAACACTGTATAGTTTGAAACGAGGGGCGATGCAACATGCGTACTATGAGAGAGGAATCCCGATTGAAGACATAGCTGGCCAAGCGTTGATTACGGTGGAAACGGCCAAAAGATACTTGAATCGTACCAAACATTTGAGGGGGCACAGGACATTGTAATGAATGTAAAACATGGGAAAGGAAGATTGACAAATGCATAAAGAAAAGACACCACGTGGAGTTCAGAATCAAGGCCATTGAATCAAATAGGCTACTAATACAAAGGTCTATTGAAATTCAGACCGCACAGCTGTCTTAGGATACCGAGGACCCAAACGCACCAAACCTTTATAAATCGGCAACATCCATGATGCGACTATAGGCAAATACTTGGGACGCAATTGTGCACGCCAAAGCGATTACCAATTAGGGGCGATCAGCACGCCGTCACACCGATCATCTTTAATTTTCTTGATGATACGTCCCATTTGGTCATAAGGACCAAATATCCAACAGAACTCCTTGGTGCCGATTG